GGTCAGGGCTAGAGGGGTGGGCCTCCGTGCCGCACCCCCAGACGCCGGCGGTGAGCCAACGCTTGCAGGGTGCTAAGAGGGGCGCTGCACGCCCGGGCTGCGGGGGTGGAGGGGAGAGGTGCACCTTGCGGGCCGAGAGGGGAAAAGCTTGCTCCCTCGCAGCGCCTTCTGTTCCAGACCAGTGCCAGTGTCCTTGCAGTTCCCGGACCGAGAGACTGTGCCCATTCTCTTCCTCCTCCCTTCCACCCATCCTGTGGTGCTCCTAGCTCCAGAAGCCCTGTCCTCCGCCCCGGGGGAGCGGGGCGGGCAGGTGTCTGTTGGAGAAGCTTCTGCAGCGGGGTCACTTGGTCATTCAACAAACATCCTTGAGCAAGCCAAGAACTAGGACTCGTCCTTGTCGCCTCTCTGTCCTTCGCTGCCCTCATTAAAATACATGTTAATTTCCTGTCGATTCTCTTTCCTGAATATCTTTCCTATCCACCATTCCTCTCAGTTTCCACCACCATCTCTCCCTTGGCTCCACTCCATTCCCCACACAGCAGTCAATCATCATTTCAACAGGCAAGTCTGACATGCTACCCTCTGCTTAAGTCCCTCTGTTGTCAGGATAGTATCTAGGCCTGATATCTGAGCTGAGTTTTGAATAAATTAGTTCAACAAGCTGAGATGAGGGGGAAAAGAATGGAAGTGAAAATTCATGAGACATTCAGGTTTCCATGCCAGGGGACCAGCACTCTGTACAAATACTTAAAGCACTGCTTCTTCTATTGTTATTAGAATCTCAAGACAAGTCTGTGAGATAAACACAGCAAGCAGCTTTCCCACTATTTTGCAAGCAAGGAAACTAGTCTGTGGAAAGAAACAAGTGCAGTGGTTAAGAGCACAGGTGTGTAGTCAGACCCTCTTGGGTTGTAAACCTAGCTCTGTCAAGCCAGCTGTGAAACAGTGAACTTCTCTGATCCTGGATTTCCATGCCTGTTAGATAAGAATAATTAATCTCTACTTTATGAGATAATTCATATAAAATACTTAGTACAGGAATTGGGTACTTTGGAGGTACTCAGTAAACATTAGCTGTTTTGATTGCAATGGGTTCTAAGAGAGGGAAGAAACTGCTTTCTTCCACGAATTTCTGAAATTAGAGAAGTATGCTTTAATAGTTAATACTTCTACGGAGCTTGTTATGCACCTGTCACTATTATAAGTACTTTGTATATATTAACTCTTTTAATCCTCTTAACAATCTTGTGAGGTAAGTATTATTATTATTTCCATTTTACAGATACAGAAATTAGGATGCAAAGAAGTGAAGGGACTTGTCCAAGGCCATACAGCTAGTAAGTGATGGAGCTGGAATTTGAACCCAGGTAGGCTGCCTCCAGAGAGTGTGCTTATAAGCACTACTCCCGTCTGTTCCTCTTTAACCCTGTGGCAGCTTTCAGCTTCCAGGGAATGTTTTGGTCAGTTGATTCTTACTCCTCATTAATGGATGGAGTAGATGCTTGGTCCTTATTCCCAAGCACAGAGGAATAAGGCCAAGTTAGGAGTATAGTGGATGAAAACTCAGCTCATAAAGTCATCTCCCCCCTTTTCAGGCTTATCCCTAGGAACAGGACTCCATGGATTATTTTGAGCTGTCCCCAAGATAGTGACAGATCAGGAACTTCTGTCCCTTCTTTTGGCCAGATATTTGCCAGATGAAAGGGTTGAGGGGGAAGATAGCATCCAAGCTAGAAATAATTCAGGGGGCTATGCTGGAAAAGTGTCAGCCAAGAGACAGACCCAGGCAGTGGACCTAGGAGTGGATGGCAAAGGAAGTTGAAAGGAGCAGTGAAAAAGTAGATGGCTTAGATTCCTGGCTTCCGTTTAGGATGCAGAAAGCTGGGAAGAAAATCATTACCACACTAATAGTTTTTTTAAATTGTTAGGTAATCTATAAAATTATAACTTTTGTTGAATCCATCAGAGAGCTGAGGTTGCAGAGCAGCCAATTAACCTGAATTCCAAAGAAGGACAGGAGCCTCCAAGAAGAAATGGGATGCAGGCACTGGCACACTTATGAAGCAGGAGGAAGACAAGGTCTCCACACAAGCAGGTAAGGAGAGTGCAGTTACAGTTTTTATTGAATTACTAAAGGCCCAGTGTGGCTAGGCTGAGAGGGGGAGTCTGCAGATGCTAAATGTAATCATGGAAACAATAAAACCCAAACATAGTTCAACTCTTGACAAAATTGACTCAGTCCTCAACAGTAATGGCTTAAAAAGAGATGATAATTTATAGGTATAAACAATTTGTCTTCAGTCTCTACTGTTCTATATATTATGTCCAGAAATCAATAAAAATTACAACACATATACAAAATGCAACTTTTCAAAACAAACAAATAACAAAAATCCC